CATTCAGTCAACATGCCAATTATGTTTTAGTTAGCATCAACAAAAATGATCTTCGGTGTGTTTTCACTCGCCTCTGGTATGCATCATAGTTGCAAAATAAACTAGACAGACCTATTTCACTGCCCCCAACGCCACCAATTTAACATGCTTCATGAATGCTTCCTCTGTGATCTTGACTATTGCACTGCGATTTCCTGGAATTAATAATCTTGCAACACTGAATCCCTTTCTATTAACTCTTTTGCACCTGGGTGATTCCCGAGAATATTCCCCATAAATATTTCAGAAAATTTATCCTAAAGGGCATAGTTCTGATCATCAAAGAACAGGATAGATCTCACATTTGGTAGAGGTACATGTAGTTTTCAAAGACTTCTCCCATGTCATTTTTGAATGTGCTTTTTGATTACTTCATCATAAAGGGAAGATTCCAGAAATTATTCAGATGCTAACTCCAACAAATTACAGAGATTGTAAGATTGTGCATAGAGTCTACTGGTAGGCCACCAAAAACTGTTTTCTGCCCTTGGTTAATAGGTTACTGCTCAAGCATAAGTCTTTAAAGACATTCAGTCATTATCTTGTGACCTACTGACTCAATGAACCCTGCTTCAGATAGAGCATTTGCAAGTCCTGTACCATTCTTCTCATTATTTCCAAAAATTATGCGATGAAACATATCAGTTATCACATTGTGTTGTTTTATGTTCTTGGGTTGCTCCAAATCAGAAGCTAGGCCTTCAGCAAACACTTGGATCAAAATTAGCGATCACACACTCCTTACCAACTCCCTTCTTTGCCTCTTCAAAGTATTGGGGAATCTCATGGACAGTTCTGTACCCTATAATTGGGTAATGTATGACAAGATAATAATGATTACTTGTGAGACATGTTGGTTTGACACCAGTCTGAAATATAAATCCAGTTCAATCAGGTACTTCTTGTTCGTCTTGACTATTAATTTTTGGATTAATACCAACAAGAGCACTGGTTATTATCTATTTGCATGAAATCCTATCCCTCTGTGTAATGTTATAGTTCCCAAGATAATATCACAATGTATGACAAGATAATAATGATTACTTGTGAGACATGTTGGTTTGACACCAGTATGAAATATAAATCCAGTTCAATCAGGTACTTCTCGTTCGCCTTGGCTATTCATTTTTTGGATTAACATCAACACCAACAAGAGCACTGGTTATTAGCCATTTACTTCAAATCCTATCCCTCTGTGTAATGTTATAGTTATAGTTCTTGTGGTGTGTAATGTTAAACTTCTGGAAGAAATTGAGATGGTTTCAACTTTAAAAAACCCATATCGATCTTGCTTATAATGGAGCGTCAAAAATAGTTTCACTGTGAATTTCTTTTAGACATATTTCAACAACTTTGATCATCTTGTCAATGAACATACAGGAACGGGTTCAGTTCACATTGCTCATGAAATTGTGATGCAATATTTTGAAGAGTGAATGGAAAATCGACGGAATGCGAATGATTTGCCTAGATATGTTTGTTTTGTTTGTTTTTTGAATTTCGCGCAAAGCTACACGAGGGCTATCTGAGCTAGCCGTCCCTAATTT